GAGGATATGAAGTGAAGGCGGCAAAAGTGAAAGCACACGACTGCCTGTCATGTCAAGTTCACAATAGAAGATGCTTGTCAAAGTGAACCCGAGCTGGGTATTCTACCCCAGAACTAGCAAAAAACACTACACAACTTCGAAATGATAAATGCTGATCACTATTGGCAAAAAAAGTACTGTAAAAAAACCTATTGTGAAGGAAGAACGTAAGCTCTCATCAAGCGAGGTGGCTCGAAAACGTGCTTATCGACTCATTGGTAACTGCTTGATCAACACCTGGAATGAGGAGAAGTCGCCTGGGAATTTTTGGTGGCTTTATACTGTTTTCTCTTCGGGAAACCGTCAATTCACTAACTTTGCAATATTATTCCATTGGGGTAAAGCCCTTGTTCAATATGGAAACATATGCACACAGCATTCGTTCTTGGCCAACAAGCGCAAGGCGCATAGTGGCGCTGGGCCCCTTTCAGTGGCCGATTAACGCTCTGGCTCGTATCACCGTCCCTGCCGGAAGAATCGGCGTGGTGAGTCTGCGCGCCCCTCTAAGCGCTGCAGCTCCCTCGCTATATCTAACCCTCCTCCGCGCGCGCCTGTTTATTTCCACTTATTTATTTATTTATTCGGCTATTGTTTACAATTGGAGTACAGGAATACATATGTAATTATTGAAGTACAGAATGACAATAGTATAAGCAATAGAAAATTTGATAAAATAAAATAAAATATATGGACGATAAATGATAGAATTTACATGTTACGAATTAAACTTATAGGATAGAAATATAAGGCACAGAGATATAATGGCTGAAGAAATATGTAATTCGGACCTATTTCAACGGTCATGGAGGTGGGAGGGAGATGGGAACGGTGGTACTTTGCGGAGGGAAGGGCAGTGGCCGGCCAACACTGCAAGCCGTTAGCTGAGATGTGACTCCGGATACCAACTTAGTAGGTCCGCCAACCCTCCGCGGTCCACATGAATTGCCACCGTCCAATCTCACGTTATTTATCTCAACGCTCCGACGTCAATTTGAATATCTAACAGGACCTTGGACTGTTGAAAGCAGTTTCTTTTTGAACAAAATCACATAGTGAGGCGGTTGTGTTCAAAAATGAAAGTAGAAATGTGAAGTGACGGGCAGCAAAAATAAATGATGAAAACTCTAGGTTTGGGGAGGGGGACTCCATTGTGCTGTATTACTAAGGATAAGGATACGAGTTTCCATCACACGTAATCGATTCATTTAGAACTTCTACTAATCGTAAGTCACCCGAGTATGCAGTACTCTGGCCTTTCAGTTCAGCCTGCTGTGGTGGGCAAGAATGGTCCCGAAAATAGGATATGGACATCCTTAGCGTAGCCTAAGGTTTTACGAGCCCCAAAAAGTCCATTGTACTCCATAAGATTGCCCACCGATGCATGAGACGATGTGTGTGATGTAGGAAGTATACACCGAACTTTATCAAACCTACCCTTAAAATAGCCATTTACCTATTATCTTATACTCAGCGTTAGACAGCCCAAAGGAGTGCTTCTACAATGAATCAAGAACATTGAAAATGCACTCATCTTTATGGAAAGCGGCGAAAGAAACGATAGCAGCTGGGGCGTCCAGGCCTCCTGAGAAATACCGGCGGCAGGCAAGTGAGGCCCACCCAATGAGAGAGAAAGGCAACAATGTATTCGCCCCCGTGTAACTTCAAGTACCGAGTTACTTATCTCAGAGCGAGGTTAAAGGGAACTTAAGTACGAGCCATAAACCATTCGCATCTTTTTTTCACAGGTGCCGACCCCGATCATTTCCAGAAATTGTACGAGTTTTTAAGAAATCGGTACATTTTATGTGTCGGCTTCCGATCTCGCGCTACTATTAGGAAGGACCTGGACCACTCCTGGTCAGCTGCTCGCCAATAAAAATGTCAACTAAAATTACGAAACAAGGTGGGGGGGGGGATGTGTTACACCTCTACGTTTTATCCCATAGTATAGTACCGCCGTTCGTGTTTCATATGTGTGCGCATATATAGGAGCATATCAGTAGTGAGTTCAAGCCTTCCATTTCACGTTTCGAGAAGCAGCAAAGAGGGAATTCTCTCGCTACTGTGCAAAGCCGCATTGAAACGTTAAAATCGACCTAACGGCTCACCACAATAACTGCCGCATTATCGCGGAAGCTTCTCGATTTGAGGTACTGCCGATTCTGTACAATCAGCTCTGATGCGAGATTCTTCGGCTGTTGCGTTTGACGCATTTTCCTGAAAAGCGGTAATAAGTATCGAAACAAAAATGTGGCGGATAAGGGTCACCGTGTCAGCTAGCACAGACCCAACAGTGCTCCAGGAACCCACTCGGAATTATTTCCATGAGAAAACATTTCGAAAGTAGGAATGACAAGAGAAATAGGGTTCGAAATGATGCAAAAGTAAACAACATCATAGCGTGGTTGAAACTGTGGTAACACATTGAAACAGCCACATGTGGCCTGGATTCTGCTCATCCGATAGAGCTTTGAATCTCACAGCGATGGGTAAACTGCTAACAGGGTTGGGATCGTGGCGTATCTGAGAAAGATTAATCAGTGTCGCTTTTTATTTGCACTCTCAAATGGGAAGACCAAAATTATAGGCATCTCTGTATACGAAACCATAAAAACCGATAAGGTAATTCAATTTGAGATGCGCCTCATACCACTTTCAATTATAGGATGGGCCAAAATTATGAGGACAGTGTGTGCGCATTGTGGTCACATCCATTTTTCCGAGTCGCTCCATTTTCATCTCCTTTTCTGTGCACTATGTGAAGGGTACAATGTCTTCTTCCTATGAAACCAAATTTCATGAAGTTCTCAAAACTAGTGAAATAACTACTTCACTTACGTCAGTCCTCAAATTGAACTCACTAGGGGCTCTGGCACGTTACATCTAGCGGCAGTCTAACGTATCAAGAAGCTCTTATGGGCAACAGTTCAACTCTTCAATAAGTTTGGAACCACCACAGATGGAAAATTCGGAGACTCGAAAGTTACAGTTACCACCAGGACAATTATCAGATGCAGAAACTGCTCTCCCCTTGTCGACTTTCGTACTCCCAAAATGAAAAATTGATGTAAAAACTAGAATGGGCACTCTGAAGACTCCTACTCTATCGTGGATAGAAGACCAACCGAGTACTCCACTCTGGACTCCATAACAGGACAGAGCACTTACTTATTAAGCAAAAACTTCGTAAAAAAAATGATTTCTCGAGTTCAGTTTTTAGGAATTGTTGCCCAGGACCGCCTACCTAATTCATCTAGACTCCCGGTATGGCAACCGTGGAGGCAAGCCCAAGTGAAAACCACAGAGAACTTTGACCTTAAAGAAGGCAAAGAAGGAAGCGTGGATTCATTTTGACACGCCTTAGTTGCGTGCCATCGCCGTCCCTCTTCATCTGAAGGCTCGTGTAAACGCATAGGTGGCAGATCTCAATTCTATTCTGGAATTACTTTGAGATAAGAGTTACAAACACTTTTCCGAAGTTTGTTTGTTCCATCAAGCTACTATGCGTTTATGACAACATGATGTCTTTGTCCTCATAATTTTGGCCGGTGGAAGAATACTATTTTTCCCTTCGTGGCCCGCCGATGTAGAAGTCGGTGCTTTCCTTGAGCAAGAAATGAGACTCGACTGATTCTTACTCAGAGAACTTAACCACACTAACCTGTAGCGGTCACCCATGTGCAAGACAGTGTTTCATCTTCGCAGACTAGGGCTGTTATCGGTTTTCTGACCCGCAAGGTCTTTAGGAGACCCGGGAGGTAGTCGAGGGACAAGGAAATCCTCTAGCCCAAGTTTTCCAACCAGGATGATTTGCCCGCAAAAAGCACACGAAAGGCTGGCGAAAAAGCAGCTTTCTCATAATAAAACAGAAGCAACAGGGTTCTGTAGACGGATATGTTCTTGCTCCTGCTCATTGTAAGGAGCCGGAGAGGCGAGGCCCACTGGAGGAAAAATGAGATTACCCTGAGCTGAGCACGCAAAATAAAAAAGATACCTTGTCCTCAGAGGACGTTGTATTCATCGTTTTCACGATGTGACCCGGTGAGAGAGCAATTCCATCGGAGTGAAGGCAGAAACCGAAAATGTTGTCGTCGGCGATGGAAAACGAGCGAATATCTGGATCGCAAGAGATCGCGAAACGTCCAGTGTCACTTGAGAATGACCAAAAGTCTCCTAAAGTGAATATAACTAAAGGCAAAAGATAGCAGCCAGCGTCAGCTGTGAACTCACCAAGAGATCGTGTGATATTGAGACACGGTTGGTGCAACTTGCGATGGGAACATCGAGATTGCCTGGCCCAGCAGTGGCGATTGCACCAACTAAACACCACTCGGGCATCTCCTCGACTATCTATTGCCACCTAAATTGAAACAGAATTTCTTACAGGGTCAGAACTCTGTGGTAGAAGGGGAAAAGACGGGTAGGAAACTCGCCGTTTCATATAGTCTATGATAACCTTCAATAACTCAATCTCATAGTCAGTACCTTTCCACTATTAAAGCACTCTGACCTCTTATTGTGATCTACAACAATGGCATGTCTGCACTGATGGAAGCTTGAGATTTCTTTTAAAAGCAAGCTGTGATGAAGTGGGTGTAGAAGGGCACCCACTAATTGAAGATGGAAGTAGGAAGTGGTCCGAAAAAAAAGAACAAAGCAAACCAAACCCTTCGATTACGCAACAAAATGCCTATCCTTCAGTGGCACTCCTTCTTGTGATGGAGGAGAGGGGTGTTAGGACAAGTTTACGAACAGTTAGCTTCAGATGCTCCAGTGCCTGTGACATTAACCACAATGCTAGTTCTGCCAAAACTGCAGCGCGTTCTTTTCGCTGCGTCAGCCTCGCAGCCGACAGTGGAATGCGGGGCTCGCGAACATAGGTGTAGAATGCGGATTGCGCAAACTCCTAGAGTCTTTGTCTTTGGCACTTTCAAGCCACAAAGGGGGCACAACATTACCGTCTGCCCCCTATACCACGATCGGGAATGGAACAGGTGAAAGTGACTAACCCCCTACCAAGACTTCAAGCAGGTTTTACCAAGCACATCAACGGTCTCGGGCAAGGATATGAAGATAACGGTGAGTATGAGAATGCGCCGTCAACGCTGCGCTTATTCTTGCGCCAGGTCGCACTGAAGATGTGGGGAACAAGCACCAAGAAAATCATCTCAACCTGGATTACGGTCGTCATCACCAGTGGCCAAGATTCTTCGAAAAAATTATTTCGTAGTTCTAATACATTGATGACAGCCCTCGTGTGCGTGTGGCTCGGCAACTCGTTTATCTTTTTTTTCAAAATCGTCATTGCTCCTTCAATAATTCCACTACTGATAACTGGGACGTTGTTTTTGAGATAATGTAAATAAGATAATGCTTGCAGACAGCTTTAGACTATGAAAATTGCCAAATAAATTGAACAGATCGAGCCTTTTCCGTGTGAAAGCCTGACGCGCATGCGCGTCATGCTGTCGTCTAATTGTTAGTGCTATGTCAATAGCCAATTCATACTTGAAAAACTCACCTGGCCACCATCTCTGGCAATCCTCGCGCATTCTTGTGCATTCAAGGAATGAGGCGAAGTTGCCCGGATACCAGCGGGATACCACGACGAACCCTCTTGAAATGAAAAATAAATAGTTAATTTGGCAACAAACAAACTGCTGCATTAAATCGCACCTCCGACGCGAACTCCTAAAACGCAAGTTGAATCGCCGCAGTTTGCCGTCCATAATCGCCCTTTGCGTAACAGACCAACACAGGCAGTTGTGCCGGCTCGCGATGGGATCGATCCCGATGGCGTCCAAGAGCCTGAAAATTACATACAGGAGTCTATGCAGCTTTTGCTGTTACGAAGTGAGCGACTTCACCTTGTTGAGTTTTATATTCGGAGAAAAAGCACTGGATGGTCTCTGGGAGAAAGTTTAGAGGGATCTTGCGAAATGTTTTAAAATGACGTCTCCTTTTTCACTTCTTATTACCTTGTCACCTGTTTCCATACCGTACCTTACCCTACCCTTCTCTCAAATACTACGCTGAGTCACAACTAACAATTTGCGCCTTCAAAATCGAATCAAAATAGAATGGCGCTCAAGGGAATCATGCCACTTACCCTTCCACTCCCTCCCCCTGCTCCTTTCATCCCTACGAGGTCGACTGAGACCAAAAAACGTTTCATTGAGAAGCAACGGAGAAGGAATAGCCTGGCACTACAAACTTTCTAATGAATGTTATTAGCATTCAAATTCCCTAAAAGTGCAAGCCGTATGCACGCTGCGTCCGTGAGCGACTATCAGTGTCAAGCGCTTTGTGTTTTTAAGGGTTGTCCCATAATTTCTGGCCGAATTTCGACACTTTCATTTTCTTACGTTTTATCTTTCCTCAAAAACAATTGATCAAAGGTATATCACCATCATAGTCACTGATATGCATGCATCTCCTAGGAGAACGAATGGATGCACTCATCCCAGAACGAGTAGCTGTGAGAT